GGTGGGTGTGGTGCGTGTAGTTCAGGTATGAGGTGGGTGTGGTGCGTGTAGTTCAGGTATGAGGTGGGTGTGGTGCGGGTAGTTCAGGTATGAGGTGGGTGTGGTGCGTGTAGTTCAGGTATGAGGTGGGTGTGGTGCGTGTAGTTCAGGTATGAGGTGGGTGTGGTGCGGGTAGTTCAGGTGTGATGTGCACTCACCTGTCTCAGTCTCTATTCTGCTCTCCTCTCGGTGTGGTCGGCCCCATTTATTCTCTTGTTGGCTCCTCCCAGTCGGGTGTCCTTGGTGTCAGATTGGTGGAGGAGGGTCATGTGACCGGTGTCCTTGTACTCTGATAAGGGGGATCTCAGGTGTTCACAGCCGGCAATTTACTCATCGATGTGACAACAAGTCCGGTATTGTGATCCCTCGGTGTCACCATAGAGCTCTATGAATCCTGAGGATCAGCATGACACAGGCCAGATCTCTGGGTCTGCTGTGTGCCTGTCAGCAGTGGGGGGAGGGGGTCCTGTCTCATAATAATCCTCAGGATTCATCAGTCCTCAGAGGTCATCTCCCCGTGTTCCTCCTCCTAGTATGAGGTCATGTCCCCGTGTTCTTCCTCCTAGTATGAGGTCATGTCCCCGTGTTCCTCCTCCTAGTGTGAGGTCATGTCCCCGTGTTCCTCCTCCTAGTGTGAGGTCATGTCCCCGTGTTCCTCCTCCTAGTGTGAGGTCATGTCCCCGTGTTCCTCCTCCTAGTATGAGGTCATGTCCCCGTGAGGTCAGGGCAGGCAGTGTTAAGGCCAGGCAGAGGTCAGGGCCAGGCAGAGGTCAGGTCCAGGCAGAGGTCAGGTCCAGGCAGAGGTCAGGGCAGGCAGTGGTCAGGGCCAGGCAGAGGTCAGGTCCAGGCAGAGGTCAGGGCCAGGCAGAGGTCAGGGCCAGGCAGAGGTCAGGGCAGGCAGAAGTCAGGGCAGGCAGAAGTCAGGGCAGGCAAAGATCAGGGCAGGCAGTGGGCAGCAGAATGGTGACAGTTTTCTGGTTTTTCGTCGGCTCTTTTCCAGGGATTCCTCTGTATCCGGCACAGACCATCCTGAGGGAACCATTGGACGTCCCGTATCACCTGATCCTGGCTACGCAGTATGGGGGGGTGTATGAATGAGGTCACAGAAGTGACGTGTGGAGAACGTTGATCTCCGGCCGGTCAGAGACATAGAAGTGACGTGTGGAGAACGTTGATCTCCGGCCGGTCAGAGACATAGAAGTGACGTGTGGAGAATGTTGATCTCCGGCCGGTCAGAGACATAGAAGTGACGTGTGGAGAATGTTGATCTCCGGCCGGTCTGAGAACACAAACACGCGTCTCTTATCGGAGAGTCAGGGTCGCAGTGCCGGGTGCAGAGGATGGAGGAATGCTCTGCGGGGTGATGTGCAATGTGCTGCACATTGTTCTTTTATCGGTTGCCGTGTCACAGACAGCGATGTAGATGAGAAGTACATTAGAATGTC